CTCTCTCTCTCTCTCTCTCTCTCTCTCTCTCTCATACACACACACACACACACACACACACACACACGTACATTGTGGGAAGCTTAAAAGTTCAGAGTTTTACCAAGTTGCAAATAATATTTTCCAACTTTCCTGCTAGCCTTCCTAGCCACCCTCTTCCGTTAACCCTTTCTTTACAGTCACTTACTGGAAAACACCACACCAAGGGGGTAGTTTGTATATGCAACCCTACAGCTCCAAGGGTTTGAACGTGTCCCTGTGGTAAAGGAAAGGTGAAATAAATCCTAGCAACACCCATTATGCTGAAAGGTTCCTCTTATTTCAGTGCGTTTCTGGATTATCACCCCCCACGACCCCCCCCCCACACACACACTCACACACCGCGCATAAGCACACTGTTTGGAAAGTTAAGTTTCCTGATTTCTTCTTGTCACTTCAGTGTGATGTCTGGCAAGAGCCACCATCCCCCGCTCTCTCAGCAGAAACCAATGCCTCTATAGGTTTGAGATAACATCTGAATGAGTCAGCCTCTTCACTTAATTTTTAAATCCCTCATCCTCCTTCCCTCTAGTCACAGTCCACTTTGGAAGTCTTTCTGGGGGGAAATTTGTGCAAGCCCCTATTATAAAGCCGTGTGTGTAGTAAATTATCATTTGTGTTATGTCTGCTACCTCCGGACTACAAAGTCTGCCCTGTTCACGTTAGCATTTTTGGTATTTAACAATTTCCCTGTCACTTAGTAGGTTCCCTGATAAGTATTTTAATTCAAGAATATGAAACCTGAAATCTCTCCAACATTTTTACTTTGGCCTGTTTAAAATTTTCAGGATATCTTTTTCAGGTCATTTTGCCTGCACTGAGATCCAAAAACTCTTGGGAGGATATTTTCAAAAACAAGGTGTCCCCTCATAAACTAAATTGGAACTCTTGGGATTATTCATTTGAATGTCATTTATTTGTATGGTGCCATTCTTTTAAAGGCTTCAGAACATTTGACATCCATGAATTCATTTGTCCTTCTAGATTTTAGCTTAAAGGTCTGTTACATAACTTCCTTGAGGAGAAAAGAAACGCCATAGTCACATTTCCTTATGACTTGAGACATAGAACACATGTCAGTTGCAAAAGAAATTGTCACTGAAGAAGGATTCCAACCCCCAGTGAACTTTCTTCATAATAATAAATTATGTGGTTGAGGCATGCTTTCAGATACACTAATTTATTGACTGTCACAACTTTGACACTGCATTGGTAGAAAGATAAATTTTGTGCGAATTTATCCACCATACGTGATTCATTGTTCTATGTGCATTTAAATTACAAGAATATTGTCTGCATTCAAATTATTATCACTGGAATTAGATGCAACAACATGAATTCAGGTTTGATTCTCTCCCCCTCCCCCTGGCCCCCTGCTTGCTTTTCATTCTGCATAAAACCTAGAGTAGGTTGAATAACATTCACACAGAAATGTGCCTATGGAAACATTTTAATTAAATGAAAATTTATATAAGAAGATGTTGCCCATGAATTTCATCAAGAAAATGGGTTGTAAGTAATTACAATTAGTCCCAAAGATGTTTGGGACTGGTGAATGTTTTTGTGTATCAACTACTTTCAGTTAAGAAAAAAAACCATGAGGGACAAAGTTCCTCATTTTTAAAAACATTACTACATTCTTTTTACAGTACTCCTTCAGGATGTTTGTTAAAGGCCTTACATGCATCCCTAACATTAACTTTCAAGGCTCAGTTCTTCCTAGGTTTTGTTGCTCCCCAATGAGTTCTGAGTTTCTCTTTGATTGTTGAAGCCAGCCTCAAGAAAGCCAGCCCTCTGTGGTGCCTCTTGTCACCACACGAGGTCTCCATAAATCCTGACCTGGATTAAGTAAGTGGAATCCACTACAGTCAGCATGCCTGTTCCTATTATTTTAAGAGGAAATCCCATTGGTGGAGGATTGTAGGGATAATTTAGATACTTAAAAACATACAGTCAAAAAATGCAGTGTAAGATCAAGGCTTGGTGACATCATGGCATATGGGAAAGAGGAGTAAGGAAATAAAATTGTTAGAAAAAGGAGGTAAGTGCTAGTTAGACTTCTGCTATCTTTTAACAAAGGTAAGCAGTATTAATTGCGTTGACCAACTCTGTAAAACTCCATAGAACCATTCTTTGATTTTTAACTGGTTTCACTATTTTTCACACTTTTATTTTTACTATTTTCTATTGCTGTAAATTGTGCATAATTTTCTTCCAGTATTTTTATTGGAAATGTGAATATGAAACACAAATACTACATAGACTATGACTGGACTAAAGTTTGTCTCATGCTCACTCACTGCCAAGCTACTTGATGGAGTATGGCTATGCCCATTTGCTGTTTTCCTCTCTTGCTCCAAGATGATGCTTCTTCAGTGAGGGCAGAGTGCAATGAATGTTGAGCCGTGGCTAGGACCTGAATTCTCTATCTCCAGCCTCAATTGCTTCTCTTTCACCCAAATACGTATCCCCTGAAACTCTAAGGTACAAGGAATGTCTAATGCTTTGAGAAAGAAAACCATCCAAAATGAACTGCTTCTCTCTCTCTCTCTCTCTCTCTCTCTCTCTCTCTCTCTCTCTCTCTCTCCTCACTCTCTGTTAACTAACTCTATGGTCCTCTGAGAATGTGGTAGAAAGCTCTGGTTTAAAGCATTCCAGCCACCTTGAAAACTACCCTGTTTACCACAAGAGCTTCTGCTTGGAGATGGTTCTAAACATCGGTGGTTCTCAGAACATGGTCCTCTAATGAGCAGCCTTATAATCTCCAGGAGTAGTTGTATTTGCGAATTGAAAAAATCAGTACAGAGACTCAGAATCAAAAACTTGGAGGTGGCAGAGCAGAAGCTTGCACACTAACAAGCCCTAAAACTGATTTTGATGCTTGCTAACGTTAGAGAATCTCTGATCTAGAGCTGTACACTATGGTATCTGGATCATCTAAGCATGGAATGGAAAAGAAGCAAGAGTGATAGCTCCTGCTAAATGGCCTTCAATCTCATCTCCAGGGGTTGACAGGTGCACATCCCTGTTCACCTCTAGAGGGCACCAAAATATTTTCCTCTCCAGCCCCACAGAAACCACAGGCTTGAGTTTCATTTCATTTTCTAAGGACATGGCTTTTAGAATTCGAAAGACCTTGTTAGCAACCTTCCTTAATTTTGATGTCTCAACTAATTAGCTACATTATATTTATATATTTATCCTGTTTATTGTTACTTATCAGAAGAATAGTGGTCTCTAATTTTCTTGAGAAGATTACGATAATACCTACCAAACAACATGGGCTTCTTGCAGTTGAGTACTTATTAAATAAATGTTCATGCCATAATTCTGTTATCCTATTAATATTAATACAGAAATAATTATATTAGAAGAATAGATATCTACTCCCATGGGCAAGTTTTATAATTTTGTAGTTTGGGAAGGTTTTTTGTTTTGTTTTGTTTTGTTTTTCGAGACAGCGTTTCTCTGTGTAGCTTTGTGCCTGTCCTGGATCTGCCTCCGTAGCCCAGGCTGGCCTCAAACTCACAGAGATCTTCCTCCCTTTGCTTCCTGAGTGCTGGGATTAAAAGCGTGCACCACAACTGCCCGGCTTGTTTTGTTTTTGATACAAGGTGTTGCTGTATAGCCTTGACTGGTATTGAATTTACACAAATGCAACTACCTCTGTCTTCCAAGTGCTAGGATTAAAGGTATGTGCTGCCATGCCTAGCTCTTGTAGTATTCTTTTACTGAGCCCTGAATGTGCCTGCTCTGTGGGGACCCTTAAGGAACCTCAGATATGCCACTCGGAATTTCTATTTTCAATTCATTTATTTGTGACGTTGAGATGAGACCAGTTGAACCAGAAATTCTTTCCAGTTACCACAATAATATAACTCTACTGAGAGATACCTGTGTTTCAAACACTGGACTGACCACATTGTACATATTAGCTCTTTCCAATCTCACAATAATGATATTAGCTAAAGACATTTTTCTTATTATGACTGAAAACTGGAGAAAACTGACACTCATGGGCATCCGTTCAATTGTTCACATTTCTGGAGACAAAGAGCAGCAGGAAATCGAAGTTCTAATTTGATGCCAAAAATCACTCTTCAAATTTGTCCTAATGCTCTGCTTCTCAAATTCTAAGATGTGAGTATATTTTAATGATGTGTTCTATATGTCAAATAAAAAATATATACTGGGAGAGAGGACTGTGAGATAGATCTAACAGAAAATGCATATGCTGTATAAACTAGAAGCCTTGAGCGTGATTGTTTTTTGATACCCTGGAAAGAACAGCCATTAACACAAAGTTA